TGAAGATGTCCCTGCCCACAGCAGGGGGGTTGGACTAGATGGCCTTGAGAGGTCCCTTCCAACCCAAACTATTCTATGAGTCTATCAGGACATGTGTCAGTTGTAGAGTGACAGCAGTGGCTGTAATACCAACACGATATTCCTGTACTCTCTTGCTCCAATTTATTTAACGAACTTTGGAAGATTAAGGCCATGCAGAGCATAAGCAGTGCAGAGGCGGCAGCCACGTCTTCGTGTGGGTGCCGGGGCGGGGGTCAGCGTGGACCGCAGTGCCCCACAGCCGCACTTCACAGCTGTGTGAACCCAGGTGAACCGCGCTGCGTGTTCTTCGTACCGCAGCACCTGGTGCAGCGGAGGGGGGGGAACGGGACCTGTAGGCTATCAGTGGGTTTAAAATGTTTTTAAATCCTAGCCTGACTAGTTTCAACCTCGCTATCGTCAGCACTTTCCAACAGAAACACTATTCTTCTGAAAGACTTTGGCCAGTTCTGCTAAAAATACCTGGAAGTAGACACCTTTTATGAAGTCACATTAATTTTTATTTATTTTTTTTTTAAGCAAACATAAGTTGTTAAATCCAGAGACTAACCTTGTGCTTGGCACGGCCTGATAGGTGGCAGCAACAACTCAGGTACTAACTCACTCTTCTTTTCCACCTTGAAAAAAGGAAAGGCTTTATTTCTGTATACAAATATACAGCATCCAGAACCTACTTATAAAACTGAAGAGGTTTGTAAAAATGTTTGTATTATCAAGCTTTTTTTCAGTCTGACTGTAAAGCTCTGTGAGCCAGCTCAAAACTATGAGCATTATGTGCCAGGGGAGGTTTAGATTGGATGTAAGGAAAAATTTCTTTACTGAAAGAGTGGTTAAACATTGGACCAGGCTGCCCAGGGAAGTGGTGGAGTCCCCATCCCTGGAGGTATTTAAAAGACGAGTAGATGAGGCGCTTAGGGACATGGTTTAGTGGGCAGGGGGGTGTTGGTCGACGGTTGGACTCGATGATCTTAGAGGTCTTTTCCAACCTTAATGATTCTATGATTCTATGATTATTAGCAGAGCCTCTGTTATCTTCTGCCTCTATTCCCCGGCAAACCCCGAAAGAGGACGGTTTGGATCTATGACCAGCGGAGAGCTTTTTAGCACGTTTTAACATCTCTGACGATCCTGGTGCTAGCTACCACGAAACAGAGCCACGTGCAGAGCACGCAGAGCCACAGGCCAACCGTGGCAGTTGTCTCCTTACACTGATTAGGTGGTACCCCCTCAGCAACGTGGGGATGAACTAACGAATGCGTCATCTGAGACATCTGCCCCGTGAGATTTGTGTTTAGTTGACATACTGCGTAAAGCTGGAGTAAGAAAGTGGAGCTTTCTTACTGGCAGGCCCTGTGGGTGCTTTCCGAATCCATGCATCATGCCCGTCCTGGCAGGCCCTGTGGGTGCTTTCCGAATCATGCCAGCTAGAACACGTTTATTTACAACTCAAAGGATTAAATGAGCCAGAAAACCCAGAAAGACTGAATTTACAGCTAACAACTCATCACATACATGCATAAGCGATGAATTTTTGTAGGTACTAACACTACAGCCTATAATTTCAGGCCTTCGATAATGAGCAGTTTAAAAGAACAACGTATTTCCCCGAGGAAATAAATACAAATGGCTTCACCCGCATCATCACCTTAAAAGCTCCTCCACAGTACCCCGGCTATGAACTTCGCAATTGCTGCAGGCACGCTGGCATA